CAGTGGTTCCCAAACTTTTCAGCTTTTGACCCACAAAATAACAGTAGCAGAGACCTGTGCCCCCAACTATTTCTGGATGATAAACATTTGTATCAGCTCAACTAAACAGGGGCATAGTAACAATATTTTTATGCTACATTTATCCATTTTAAAAATACTAACCTCACTCCTTTGTAACAACTAAGCAAAAATGTAATTCAGAAAATCTTTTCAGGACCCCACCTTGATGTTTCGGGACCCCACTTTGTGTCCCGACCCCAACTTTGGGAAACACTGGTCTAAACTAATAGTCCGTATTCAGACAACAGGAGCTACATATTTGTTTAGGGTCATATTTAAAATTCTCTCTACACACAAAAAGAAAGTGTTAGACCAGGGATGTCCAAAGTGTGGCCCGGGGACCATTTGTGGCCCCTGAACTGATTTTGTGTGGCCCCTGACTTCAGTTCAAGAATTATACTAATTTGTTTACAAATTTGTCCCCCCGGCACAGGTGTTTGGTGTAGATGAAGACTTTCTATTTTTTATTATTAGGGCAAATTTATCACAGACAAAGAAAAATCTTATAATTAAAAAATATTGGCAACAATACCAATTATTTGTCTTTGAATAACCAGGCTCTTAGCTGTTTTCACATCTATCCAGTGACTTGTACTCAAAAGCTGATTTTGCTGCACTTCAATCTGCTTTTAATCAATTTATTAAATTTGTCTGAATGCAGCAAGCATTTTCAATAAGAGTGACCTAAATCCTGATTTTACTGATTAGAATTGACTAAACTGGGTTATTTTTTCCCCAAATGAAACCTTGAAAATTGCAACATTTCTTTCAATAAGGGAAACCTGGAAAACAATTTACACATCTATTGCATCCATTTCCAGCAATAAATCTAACTACTGTATTTGTTTAATTAAATTAATCAATGCTTAGCTTATTGTTGAGCAAGTAAAGGAAAAATATTTTTGGCCCTCAAGTCCTTCTGACTTTATGATTTTGGCCCACGTGACAAAATGTTTGGACACCACATGTGTTAGACCAAAACCCACACATCTCAGTTGGTCCTGTTTGCCCATCTGTTTACAATATTTTTACATTTTTTTATTGAAACATTTCTCTGTTCTTGTGTATTTGTGTTGCTGTAGATTTGGCAATAGAACTGAAAAACTCCTCCTCTAAACATGTAAACATCTCATCTTCCCTGATCTCTACCTTCAAACCGTCTGACCTCAATTCCTCGAACGACTTGTTCCTAAACATATAGATCATGTTGGTGCACACCTGCTGCCAAAACAAAGGCACGGAAAAGCTTAGATTTCATGCAACATTGAATCATCTTTCTGTTTTATTGATCCCCGGCAGAGATACAGCCAGAGGACTGATAAGGAGGATTTCCTTACTCAGGTCACAGCCTGTCGGGTTTCAGCTGCACCGCCTGGGGACTTTCAGTCTCTGGAGGAGGGGAGCTAAATCTCTTGGCACAAGGCTAGGAAGCCTAGGAACCTTCCTGAACGAAAATCAAACACACCCCCTGCTCTCTGTGGACTGGTATCATGTATTGAAGCGGTCACGTATCTTTACAGACATTATGTAGGACTGGATTGCCTGCGCAGGCTGCCACTGTGCGCTCGCGGCGCCGCGTCATCAGGTGCGCGCTCCGGGGGGGATAGAGGTATTTTTTTGTTGACGCCTCCTCTGTCTCCGGGCTGATCAGGGCACACGCCCAGCTGACGAGGGGAATTAAGTCTTACGTGCGTGGAGCAGCTTTCTAATCGCTGATCTTTTGGATTAAACCGATGGATGGGATTTAACCTCTTGTCCGTGACATTTTTACGCACGCTCGGCACCACATTGTGCGCTCCTAACTGCGCTCCCCAGCGTGAATTAATCCCTCTTTTGTTCTAAGTTGATCTGCCCCGTTGGAGTTAATGTGGATTGTTAATGATGCTAAATGATGGTGATGTTTTTGTCCTCGGAGCGAGCGGACGCGCGTAGGAAGAGCCAGCGACTTTCAAAAGATCTGATTGGATCGAATCATCTTGTTTATTCACCTGAGACGCTTTGACTTTGTTTTTTGTCCGGGATGGAGATGGGTTTGAGACCCCGGCTCTGTTTTCTGATCAGAACAGAGCGCGGATATGGCTTCCACCTGCACGGAGACAAGAACAGAGGCGGACAGTTCATCCGGAAAGTGGAGCCCGGCTCCTCGGCTGACCTGGCCGGACTCCAGCCGGGAGACCGGCTGGTGGAGGTGAACGGGGAGAATGTGGAGAATGAGTCTCATCCTCAGGTGAGTGATGCTACAGTAAATTACATTTCAGAACAAAGGAATAATGAGGAACAATGCGTTAAATACCTGTTAGACAACTTTTTTTTCTTTCCTGAGGAGGGCGGCCTTAAGTGGGTCAGTGTGAAGGGAATCACAGTTTGTCTTTGTTGAAGCACAAAAGTGCTCTGTAAAAATAACTTGTAAGATTTACTTGAGAAAACGATTTGCACTAACGTTTGTGAAGTAAATTTAAATGCTACAAATTCATGTAATATTTACTCATCATTATCTAGTAAAAGTTATTAAGAATAGTTAAAGATTTGTAAATAAATCAGGTAAATTTTACTTAAGTTTGATTATAAAGTGAAATTAAATCTCTGACATCATTAATTCCTCTCTTCATCTCACAGCTTCCTGTCTGCAAACTGACTGTAAACATGAGTC